CTTTCCTTAAAATCTGGTGTGTCCTATATCTACATAAATCAGTTGAGTCGGTTGGGGCAGTCCCATTTTTTCTTCTTTAAGTCTGCTGGTAGTTCCTTTTGGGTGCTCTAAGTTTGTTCTGGAATGTTGTGTTTTTTTTGGTCTTAATTCATATTTCAAAAATCAAGTTATTCTTCTCTTTTAATATTCCAATCTTGATGAGAAATTCAAACACGTTTTGATTCCCAATTCGTTTTCAAAGCATAAATGCTGACCCTTTTCAAATAGATTTCAACTTTATCTCGGCCTTGTAAATTTCTTATCAGTCTCCTGGGCACTTTAGACATGGATCTGATTTTCTCAATGCTTTTGAAACCTGTGGGGCATTTCAAAGTTGTTTAAGTGTTCTCAGTTTACTATTTCTTTCACACTGTTATGGCCTGCTCCTTTTAGGGCTGTTTGGTGATTGTTTAATCAGGTAATTAACGTATTTCCTCACTGTTTGCAAAGGAAGTGGATGTAAAATAGGGGGCGATTTTGGGTATTGTGCAGGGTATTTAATGGAGGGTTTTAAGGCTTGATGAGGCTGTTTTGTATTCTTCTTTTCTTTCTTTCTTCGTTTTTACTTCATATTTTAAGGGGCTGTTTGCATGTTGTTTGAAGTAGGAAATGGTGTTACTTTCTGTCCAGGAAATAAACAAATAGCAATTGTTTTAGGCTTTTGCAGTCATTGTTAAGTCATCATGTTTGGGGCTGTATAGTGTTGCTTGAACCAGAAAGTTGGTCTGCTACTTGCTGTTTGGGGAAAATAAAATAAATGAGAAAAGATGGACTATTTTAAGTCCACTGTTTTGATCTGTTCATTTAGGAGTTTCTTTTTTCTTGTGTTAAAACCAGGAAATAATGCTGTTTGGAATGAAATTAATGAGGAAAGTAGAACTGTTCTTGGCTTTTGTTTAGTCTTTGGTCTCCAGATTTAGGAACATTTTTGGTGGTTTAAGGTAGAAAATTAATGCGTTGCTTGTTGTGTGGAAATGAAGTAACTAGGGACTGTTTTGTCCTTTTTACATCTATTGTTTCGTCTATACATTGGAGGGCTTCTTGGTGTTGATTAAACTGAAAAAATGATGACGTGTTACTTGTGGCCTAGAAGCAAAATAAATGGGAAAACATGGACTATTTTAGACTTTAAATCAACATTAATGGGTAAAAATTTTAAAGGCTTAAATAAAGATTAAATCATGGTCGCTATGTCTTTGTTATCTTATGAGCTATCTTTTTGTTTAGCTTTTGTTTTTATCCTTTGTTTCTTTTCTTTTTTTTTTTTTCTAAAAAAAAGAAGCCAAAACTAATTAGCTATGACACCGGATGGGTGCCTCACCCATTCCTTTCCAATTTCATTTTCCGGACTTAGTTTCTCTTTATTAGATCAGTGCATGTTTTGGGTATCTAATCGACTTTAAACAGATTAGTGATGACTCCTTTTTGAACTCGTTAAGATTCCATTTTTGAGAGTTTTGATCCTGTATCACCATTCGACAAATTCTTGGAGAAAGCATGTATTTGTGTTTTGCTTTAGTATGGTTTCAGGATGGGTTATTAGGTTCTGATTGAGTTTTTGATGGAAGGTTTAGTTCAGGTTAGGCGTGAATCTTATTTGGGAAAAGATTGTTTTCTCTTTGGATAATGCTGTTCTTTTGCAAATAATGTTATCTCTTGGGTTTACTTTTCAATATATGTGCCTTTGAAGTCTTGGATAATCTCCAGATAATTTTGGTCACTAAGTATATAACTTTTCTTTCTTTGAGCACCGTTCAACTGATTTACTATTTACAGATTTGGACCACTTTTATTTGGAGTCTTGGATAAATTTGGTCCAATAGAGTTTTTTTAATCATTTGCTGTTAGAGAAGCATTGCTGTGATATTTAATAAGAGGGATGGTTAAAAGTTTTCGTTGAAGTGAATTGAGATTGTAGAGTTGGGAGGTGGAACTTGAAAGAGCTGAAAAAGGAATTGCTTTTGGATCTGAAAAGGGAACTTGTTATGAATCTTACTGAAGCTCGATTATCTCTACTTCTAGCTAATTTTAGTTCGAGTTCAGGTTGTGGATCAATGGGACTCAATTCTTTTGCCTAAATTTTTGCACCAAGCCTGAGATTTTTTATTTTTTATATGAGCAACTTGAGCAGAAAATGAAATTTGGTTCAAGCTTTGACCTGAATTTTGTGCTTAACATAATTCTGCTGGCTATATCACACTCCAATGTTCCAGTTATGCAGCCCAACTTGGCTTGGCTTGTTGCCACATTTTTCTGTGACTATGGGATCCATTTCAATTGGTTTTCAGCACGGACTTCTTGTAGAATTATTGGGGTCTTACAAAAAAGGATCCATTCAAGGTGTTTGGGGAGTTCCACTTGAATGGTGAAATTAGGATAAGTATGAATTCTACCTTTATCACCTTGGTTCCCAAGAAAGACTGGTCCACTAAAGTTACCCATTCCCTCACTAATAGGTTGGTCTTTGGAGTTCAACAAATAATTTCCAGAGTGCTTAGGAGATTGAGTGAGGTGTTGATGACAACATTTACATCAATTAGGGTGCTTCTTTTTAAGTGGTAGAAACATGCTTGATATTTCTCTCGTTGGTGATCGGATGGTGAAGGAAGATATGAGGTTGAGAAATAAGGGTGTTGTTTTTACAGTATATTTTGACAATGGATATGACAAGTTTAACTGTTTTTTTTTTTGGGGACAATGTCATGTTGAGGAAAGGATTTAGCAGTAGGTGGCAAAGATAGAGTTTGTTGCTTTGCCCTGGCGTCCTTTGTGGTTTTGGTGAATGGTAAGCCAACATCTTGATGTTGTGTGCAAAGAGGGTTGAGATGGGAGAGGTCCTCTTTTCCTGTTTATTTTCACACTTATTGTGGATGTTTTCAGTCGCTTGTATCCCATAAGATTGAGAGAGATATGCTGAGTGTTTCTCATGTGGGGCTTGAGGGGGTAGATATCTTTAACCCTATCTAAATCCTCTTCCTCCCCCTCAAATGCCCGTTTATTTCTTTCTTTCTGAATTATCCAAAATATAGCAAAGCGAATAACACTCACATGTTTCTTCCCATTACTGATATCCTTTTAGGCTCAAATCTCGTCCCTTACCGTGCCAACCATAACCCAACTAATCTCCATAAACTCAAATGCCCTGGTCCATAGATTGTATGCTAGTAGGTACGGAAGCAAAATATGGTACATACAATCAATTGTATTATGGGTCATCCTCTTTACAGTATGAAGGATTTCGGGGATCTTGTTGATACTGATTGACATGTGAATAATTTTTTGTATATGAGTTGGCACCCCATTTGGTGCTTGTAATTAATGATATATTAATTTTTATTTTTATTTAAAAAAAGAACATACTATTGATTGTTTTTAGACAAAATTTGAGGACTTGCATGTAATTTATCCATATCATTATGATAATCCAACTATGAGGACTTGCATGTAATTTACCCATATCATTAAGATAATCCAACTATTGACTGTTGGGGCTTTTATGCATGATATTCTTTTCTTATTTCCTCATGTAGTCAAATGACACAGTTAAATGAAAATTACTGCTTGTAATATTTTTCTTCTTGAATTACTTTCCTTTGGCTCTCTCTCACTTCACTTCTCTTGCCACACTCATAACAATAATTTTGGCCTTTGAGATGCTTTGATTTCTTGGTAAACAACCAAACATCAAAAGATTGAACCTCTAAGGAAGTTTCTGTGCAAAATGTAGAAGGCTATGCTTGAGCTCAACTTCTTTGTTGACCATCCAGATGGTAGCCCCAGTAATACGGACTATTATTTCTATAGGAGGTTACGAGTGAGCTGTAGTTGTACATTCTTATAGCTGATGTCAGAAGAGAGTTCCCCTGCTTAGATCTCAGTGGGATTCTGCTGACTGGCTTTCTCTTGAAGGGAGTAGATATGACCCAAACTAGACATTTTGTAGCAGGTGGGAACTCCTATTCTCATTTGCCTAAGAAAGTTTGGCTATGCTGGTCCCTTCTTCCCACCATTTAATTCAACAAAAATAAATTTTTTTGCCATGGAGAAAGAGACATGTCCTAAAATTCTTAATCTACAAGAAAGCTTTTAATATATTCTTTATATTTAATTACTCGCGCCTTTTGTTTTCTTCGGATAAAATAAACTGTTTGTTGAAGAGAAGAGAAGTGTTTCATTGTGTGAAGTTAGCAAACTCCAACGGATGTTTTTTTCTTTTTTTCCCAAATTTTCTAGGCTTCCTAAGAATGTTATGGGAATTGAGTCTTGCTGATGAAGTTTCCTTTTTTCTTTTCTTTATTGGAGGCAAATTCTCTCAAGTTATTTTCATCAAATCAAGCAAGCTCATGGGATCATTGTTTTGCAGGATTTTAGTTGTTTTAGCTGTAGCCATGTCTACCTCATATCTTCCTGCCACAACAGACTCTATTGCTGGGGCTTTAGAAGCTAAAAGCCCATCAGAGGCAATTTCCATGCTTTACCGTGTACTTGAGGACCCTTCATCAACTTCAGAAGCTTTGCGCATTAAGGAACAGGCCATCACAAATCTCTCTGACCTTCTTAGGCAAGAGAACAGAGCTGAGGATCTTCGCAGTCTTCTTACTCAGTTAAGACCTTTCTTTTCCCTGATTCCCAAGGCTAAAACTGCCAAGATTGTCAGAGGAATTATTGATGCTGTCGCCAAAATACCAGGGACATCTGATCTTCAAATTGCTCTTTGCAAGGAAATGGTCCAATGGACACGTGCCGAGAAGCGTACTTTCCTAAGGCAGAGAGTTGAGGCAAGACTTGCAGCCCTTTTGATGGAAAACAAGGAGTATTCAGAAGCTTTGACGCTTCTTACTGGTTTGGTCAAAGAGGTGAGGAGGTTAGATGACAAGCTGCTACTTGTGGACATTGATTTACTGGAGAGTAAGCTGCACTTTTCATTGAGAAATCTTCCAAAGGCAAAAGCTGCCCTGACTGCTGCAAGGACGGCTGCAAATGCTATTTATGTACCTCCGGCTCAACAAGGCACCATAGATTTGCAAAGTGGCATTCTTCATGCTGAAGAGAAAGACTACAAAACTGCTTACAGTTATTTCTTTGAAGCATTTGAGTCCTTCAATGCTCTTGAAGATCCCAGGGCAGTATTTAGTCTGAAATACATGCTGCTGTGCAAGATCATGGTCAGCCAAGCTGATGATGTGGCTGGGATAATATCTTCAAAGGCGGGACTGCAGTATGTGGGGCCAGAACTGGATGCTATGAAAGCGGTTGCTGATGCTCATTCCAAGAGGTCCTTGAAGTTGTTTGAAACTGCTCTGCGTGATTACAAGGCCCAACTGGAGGAAGACCCAATTGTACACAGGCACCTGTCATCCCTCTATGACACCCTTCTCGAACAAAACCTGTGTAGGTTAATAGAGCCTTTCTCAAGGGTTGAAATTTCTCACATTGCTGAGCTGATAGAATTGCCGATTGAACATGTGGAGAAAAAGTTGTCTCAGATGATTCTGGACAAGAAATTTGCCGGTACCTTGGATCAGGGTGTTGGATGCCTCATCATATTTGAAGATCCAAAGGCTGATGCCATCTATTCTGCCACTCTAGAAACCATTGCTAACATGGGAAAGGTGGTGGACAGCCTCTATGTCAGGTCTGCCAAGATCATGACATAACTGCTGCTGCTGTTTTCACGCTTGATTGTTAGCAGTCCTGATTCTGCTTCATGGGACCTTTATATGTTTCCAGTTTAATGACACAATAGAGACTTGTTGCAATTATTTGAAGTTGGAACAAACATTTTACTAATTATGGAAAATGTTCTTTACTTTTGGTTCTGCTGGTTCAATTGGGAAGACAGGAGAAGATGGCTTGTCATACCGATATTATATATTTACAAAGTAACTGATTGATTTAAAATATAAAAAGTTCTATATATATATATATATACATACACACACATAGCATCGAGATGCACAATTAGAGATTATTGTTCTCCTTGCAAAGTTAGCCGGAGTCCTTTTATATTTTTCCTAGTGATAGACCATCTAAATAATGCTCGGTATAATTATATAAGCTTGTTTTATTTTAAGTTCCAATTTCATACAATGGAAATTAGATGTGATATAATTCTGAAAAATAGTATTAAAAATTTAAGCTAATTTTATATTTATTTTCTTTCAAAATATACAAACTATATCATTTTAGACTTGAAGATATGTGTGATTTTGGTTTAATTATTTATTAAATGTGTATATTAATTATTAATATCTAATAATTGAATGAGGGTATAATAAATCGAAATCAATTTCAATCAAAGAGTGTTATATTTGACAATGAGATACGATTATTGAAAGTGTGAATAAATATTATTTTATGTTATTTTATAATATAAAAAATATAGAAACATTTCAAATTATCGAACAAGATTATTTGGCACGATTCTTATCTTTAGGTTAATTTTTGAGATTCGGCATGTAATATTATATAATATGGATTGAATAGACATTTACAATATATAAATAGGACATATATCATTTATTGAAAATAAATGAAAATAATTATAATTATAAAATTTAATTAAAGCTAAAAATTTTGAATTAAGGATTTTATTAAACTAAAACAATTGTATTAAATATCTAAATAAAAACTTAATTGGAATTTAAAAAATATATAATTAATACTATTACAGTCTATTGAAATTTTAAAAAAATTAAAATTAAATAATCTTATTTAAAATTCCCATAAAGAATTGTGGTACATGTAAAGTATGTTACAAAAATAAGAATTATATTTTTGTTTTAATATATAAAAATAAACAAATAAGATAGTAAAGTAGGAACTAGCGGCATATAGTAAGTTAGTTAGTTTTTTTTTTTAATTTTAAAAAAATTAATTTTAATCTTATAATAATATATGAAAATTAATTATACTTCTTTTATAAAAGCCCGCCAAAATAATGGGCCGGGCCTGATAAAATCAACAGCTGAAACCGATTTCAATAACTACAGGCCCGTAGCTTTTATTATTGCTCTTTGTGTGATGCACAGCGTACATTCTTCGTCTTCCTCCCCTCCAGGGTTTTAGATTTAACCTTCAGTTTAAACCCCTTCTCTCTCGCCCTGGCTTTTTTCTGTTCGGTACCAAGTGCTAACTGTAAGTAGAGAAGATGAAGGTGAAAGTAATATCTCGTTCTACAGATGAATTTACTCGAGAACGAAGCCAGGATCTCCAGGTAACTCTTTTCTTTTGGTTCTCTAATTTCTTTTTGAGTTCTCCGCTTTGTTTTCTCTGTTTGGAAGCTTAAACCTTTGAATTGAATTGTATTAGAGAGTTTTTCGTAATTTCGACCCGAGTCTTCGTCCCATGGAAAAAGCTGTAGAGTACCAGAGAGCTCTTAATGCGGCAAAATTGGAGAAGGTAATATAATTTTATTCTCAATTGTTTCTTTTTATCTTAAAAATTCTGGAATTTGATACGTATCCAGTTTTTTTCTTTTTTTGTTCCTAGCTTTTGCTAATACAGTGAACTAATTCGTTTGATCGTGTTTAGGTATTTGCAAGGCCGTTTATCGGGGCAATGGATGCACATAAAGATGCTGTTTCATGTATGGCGAAGAACCCGAATCACTTGAAGGGCATATTTTCTGGTTCTATGGATGGAGGTACTTTTACACCTTTAGGTTGTTTTCAAATAGACATCTTGAATAATTGACTAATCGGTTAATCTGTGGGGAATAAACCAGTTTAAAACAACTGAGTCAGTAATTGGCTACCATAACGTTTTGTGAATTTCTCCTTTAGTCTTTGGTTTGTTGTTTAGAATATTGCAGAAAGAAAAGCAGCTAAAAAGTTTTGAACTTGTCCTTTTAAGTTGTTTTTATTTGAAACCTGATGTATTTGTGCAGTCAAGCAATGAGGGTTTTGTTAATCAAGTGAGAGGAAATTTTTATTTTCTCTTCATAAAAAAGGAAGTCCTCAGGGTTCAAGTTTCAATGTTCATAAGGGTTCTGGACAAACAAATTGAGCTTCGTTCTTTTTCTCATTATTATGAGAACTAGCTATTAACTGCTTTTTCTTTAGCCCTGTTAAGGAGGGCAGTAATCTTTTTCTATCTCTCCCTTACCTGTTTAGTTTGTTTGCTGCTGTTAAGGAACCTGTCTATTCATTTTTTATTCATATTTTCTGCATTAGTAAAAGTCCTACCATTGGGTATAGAGTGCCATTGCTGCTGTTGTGTTTTCTCTGTGTTCAAAATTTTGAACTTTTTTATTCTTATCTTTTTCTTTTATAAATTGATTTTGCAGATATTCTTCTTTGGGATATTGCTTCAAGGTTAGTCTCAGTGAATTCTACTTTATATTTCAGGATCAGTTTAGATGTGTGCTTTTAAGGGCCGTGAGTTGTTATTTCTATGAATTTAAGGAGGAAAAAGTACTTGAAAAAAAAGAATTTGAGGAGGAAAAAACAAAAGGAAGATATATTTGGTCTAAAAGAGATCTTCAGGCTGTGTTCTGGGTTTGAACATATTTTCTTCCTTCTTTGGTTACTACTGACCAAGTTTACAAACAGGAATCAATTTGATTCTAGAAGTATCAAATATACATATGTATGCAATGTTACATTAAATGTACATGGTGATTGGAGTGCATGATTAACTATTTATTTCATATATTATATGGTAGTTGGTACCATTAAATGGATTTCAAGCTTCATGTGATATTTCTATGGTTTTCCTATCATACAACTATTCATAGGTTTCTCTTGTTCCTAGATTATACTTGGTTCAACTTGTTTTCTAGGAGCTTAAAAATTGTAAAATTTGTAAGCTCTTCGATAGTGTATAAGCTAATACAAATTCATTATAAATAAACTATTGAAGTCATCGAGTAATTGGAGCTTATAAAATGAATTATTTTATTTACATGTTAGGTAATGGTATAGCTTATAAGCTGTCACGTTTTCAAATAGCAAAAAGAATACTTTTATTAGATCTATACTTATTTGAGAAATTAAATATAAAGGTAAAATATTAAATTTTCGTTTTAGTTTTTTATATTGATGCCTAATTATTTATTTTGAGTTATAATGATTTGAGAAATACGAAAGTCCTATACCTTAAATTTATTGGTTGAACTTTAAAATAGTTTATGAGATAAATAAATAAATGAGATGAGTAGCAGAACTTGCAAGCCAAAGTTGGGGAACAATTTCCTTATAGCATGTTATGCACTCTTCAGAATATCTCCTTCGCGGACCCACTTGAAAACACTGTCTCGTCACCTCATCACCCGAATAAGATTCCTCTTAGAGATGTTACCTCCAAAGTTTGAATTCAATTACTCCCAAATTGAACATAACTTTACCAGTCTTGTAACTCACCTGGATGCAAATTTATAAGTACCCCATGAGATTTATCGCCTGCTATAGTGATATATATATATATATATATGTATATGTATATGTATGTATTACAGTGGTGTAAATCATCATATTATTAGTTGACCGTCCTATCATATATTGTCAAATAAGGACTTCGGCCTACCCGTGAAACAAAGATTCATATTGGATAAAAGGCTTATTATGGAGCTGCTACAGTGAAGGAGAAGAGCAATAAAAATGGGGCATCATTTTTTTAAGGGTTATATATTAGATATTCTTTAAATTGCTGAAGGTTAATTTAGTCTTTATCGGCCACTTAAAAGGTTTGTCAACAACAGCTTAAAAGCTCTCTAAAATAAAAGTTGGCTCCAAATAGCTTTCTGAAAACACTGTTGTTAGAGCTTACAAGCTCCTTAGTATTTACCAAACATGTAATGGGAATTTAGAACATTATTTGAGAGCTTATAAGCTCTTATTGGTAAAAAATTAAGCTAAGTTAAACACTTATAGGTTACACAGGTGTTCTTCCTTCGTCAGATCTAATTTTTTACTTTATACTTGATGCACATGCACTGACATAACCTTTTTAAAAATTTTGCTCAAAAAGGCGAACAATTTGTCAGTTTCCTGGTCATCAAGGTGCTGTACGAGGTTTAACAGCATCAACAGATGGTCGCATTCTGGTGTCTTGTGGAACTGATTGCACGTAAGGCACAACTCAAACATTTCAGCCGAAAATCAAGTTTAAACTTTTGTATTTGCTTTTACTGAAGTCTCAAAGATGTATTAATTTGTTTAGTGTCCGGCTTTGGAATGTTCCTCTTCCCACTATGATGGACTTGTATGACTCATCTAATGATTCAGTTGAGGTAATTCTATTTTGAGGTTGCCTTATATTATACTGATTGAATTTCTATTGCATCTTTATCATCCTGAATTTTCCTGATGTTTGCCAGCCACTAGCAGTTCATGTCTGGAAGAATGCATTTTGGTAAGATTGTTTTTTAAGAAATTCCATAACCAGGATAAATAATTTCAGAGGTCTTTTCTTTGTGTTCCGTGTGTCTAACATTATCTCTTTTTTTTTTTACTTTTTTTTTATCAGGGCTGTTGATCACCAATGGACGGGTGATCTTTTTGCCACAGCAGGCGCTCAAGTAGATATATGGAATCACAATAGGTCCAAACTCTTCCCTCTTTTTCCCCCATACAAGCCTGCAAGTTTTGCATTTAATCTATGACAGTCTATCTTTGTTAAATAGGTCTCAGCCAGTGAACAGTTTCGAATGGGGAACAGACACAGTTATATCTGTCCGATTTAATCCTGGAGAACCAGATGTCTTAGCAACATCAGCGAGGTATGTTTGACTGTCCGAGTTGTGGATGCGTATGTGCTTGACTTATTGTTTTTATTGATATCTAATCAATTCTTTCTTTTTTGTAGTGATCGCAGTATAACATTATACGATTTAAGAATGTCGTCACCAGCAAGAAAAATTATTATGATGGTACTTTTTACACTTGACAATGAATTCTATAACAACTTAGGTGCACTTTGTGGTTTTCTCTCCTTAAAATATGATACCTTTTGCAAAAGTCAGGACACTAAAATTTACTGCTGTGCAGTGTCTGTAACAAAGTCCAAGATGTTTGTATTATTTTGCCTTCCTATCTTCAGGCTTTTATCTGTGAGAAAAGAAAAAGAACAAAGAAATTGTAACTGATCTTGGAAGGTTGTACTGAAACTCCTGGTTGGAATTGAAAACTTTATACATGAATAGGCAAAGTATAAAAATAGATGGATTTTCCATTACTGTTGCTGATCTCCGGTTAACTGTTGCTGATCTCCAGTTAACTGTTGAAACTTTTAATGGATGATGTGAATCTACAATTTTAATATTTTACTGTATAAGATGCCAACTATTTGATCTTCAGTTAGACTGCCCTTTTCTACTTGAACTACTCTACAATTGTCCTGCTTTGCTGATATTATCATGTCTCTGTTGTATTTTGAATACATCTTCATTGAAGGAGCACTATCTTTTGCTTGATGTTAACTTATTTAACATTGTTCTTATTACAGACAAAAACAAATTCAATTGCTTGGAACCCAATGGAGCCAATGAACTTCACAGCTGTAAGTAAAAGACTGTAGTCTAGTTCCTTTGTAATTTTTTTATCAGTATTCTAGGAATTCAAGTTTGGTTTCCAATGTCAGTTTAATAATGAAGATTTCTAATCAGCTAATTTATGATGGATCACTTACACATTTAAGAGAAAGCATTCTGAGGACATTGTTCTAACCTTGATGCTTATCATCGTAAAATTTACGAGTCAACTAATTATAGCATGACTAATTTTAGCATTGTTCTAAATGAAAATTCTTAACTAGAAAAATGGCCATTTGATATTATCTTTTGGATCTACTACTTTTATTAGATAAATTAAAATGTCAAGATCAAGTGCTCTGTGATTTCTTGCACCCTTTAATAATGTAGAAACTTCATTCTTGCTCCATTCAGTATATGCTGATTCTACCTACCTCTTCCTGAATAAAATGTTTGCTTGTCCTCTGATGATGCAGGCAAATGAGGATGGTAACTGTTATAGTTATGACGGCAGGAAAGTGGATGAAGCCAAATGTGTGCACAAAGATCATGTTTCTGCAGTGTAAGATTACAGTTGTATATAGCACCCCTAGCATTCTTTCTAGACATTGCTCAGAAAATATTTAGTTTAATTCTTTATTTTATTGTCCAGAATGGATATCGATTTCTCCCCAACTGGTCGGGAATTCGTGACTGGATCTTATGATAGAACAGTAAGTTTCCTTGTCCAAAAAGAAATGCTTAATTTATAAGATGGCTGTTGTGTTCAATTTGACTTCTACTTGCAGGTTAGAATATTCCCCTATAATGGTGGTCACAGTCGAGAAATCTATCATACAAAAAGAATGCAAAGGTAAAACATTCATTTTGCATCTGCTCTTGACCTTTACAATCTTGCTGATTAGTGGATCATCTGGTTTATCAAATGTAACCAGCTAGCTTGAATAACTCCAGTTTGTATCTGGGTCTGTTAGGACTAAGACTTGGCATCCCATCATGCCTTTCTCAAGTGTTTCTAATAATATTTAAATTTTCTTTAGAAGAAAAGGTTTCTAGTAGTAAATTTTCCATTTTTCACTAGATTGATGTAAGCTCTATGGCAGCTTTTTCTCCTTTTGTCAATTATCTTACCTATCTTTGCAGGGTCTTCTGCGTCAAGTACAGCTGTGATGGAAGCTATGTTATTTCGGGGAGTGATGATACCAACCTTAGGCTTTGGAAAGCTAGAGCATCTGAGCAGTTGGGAGTGGTAAGAATTCTTCATGCACTCTTTTTCTTATTATTGTTGATTGTCAAATCACAGTCCTACCAAAGATAATCGGTATCATGATTCTAAGGTGTTTTTGCAGCATACTATGCCCTTTTTCATTAAAGATGAAACACTGAAAAATCATTTTAAAAATCATATCTTTGCACAGTTTTTGCTTCTAGTCTGTTCAGCCTCTGGGATATTAGCATAAGTGATAGTAAGGTTTTAGGACTTCGAGACCATTTGGATCAACTTTTTCTTTGTTTTTCTGTAGCTCATATAGCTTCTATTCTTAACAGGCTTTTTTAAGCTTATAGTACTTCAAGCTTGAAAACTGTTGGGATTCCCTAATCTTTTTTTACTTGAAAAAATATGAAGTACTTGGTAAGTTATGAGCTTTAAGCTAAAACTTTAATGAAATGACTAAACGAATAGCTAATTGCTTTTTTTCATTACAAAATTATCTGTGTATTTTTTGTGTTACAAAAACGAAAATATAATAATAAGTTTTATTCATTTAAGAATTCTAATTTTCTCAACTATATTTATTATGATATTTAATTAATTTACTATTAAAAATTCAATCATATTTATTACTATCAATTATATATATTACATAAATAAAAAATAAAAATAGAAACCTAAAAGAGGACATCACTGTCGCTTGGGAGATGCTCGATGGCAGCTCTATTGTAAAGAAGCGCTGCCGTTTCTTTTAGATTTGTGGCCTGCAGTGTAGCCACTACATTTTTCTGTTTTAATTTTCTGTTGTAAAGGAGAATCTTTGCTGAATTATGGTTGTAAATAGTGTTTTAAGGAAGGTGTGTTCCTCAGAAAATATGGTCAAATGTACTTAAAGCTACTTGCTAAAAACTCTATAAAAAGCAGGTCTTAGGAGTTTCTTTTTTGGGCTAAAAGCTCAAGCTTTTAGCACCTTATCAATCACTTTTTAACTTCTTTTGTAGCAAAAAAGGCTTTAAGCACCTTTATCAAAAAAAGAAAAAGGGAATCAATCCAAACATCTCTGTGTTTTAGCTAATTACGAATTTTAAATCAGTGTGAGGCTGTGGAGCAATTTATTTCTGTTTAAATAGAAAAATAGTATGTAGCAATTTATTGACAGCTTGGGCGGTAGCACTTGGACCCTAAGATTTGAATGAAGAATTTTTCTGTAGGCACTAGGCTTTTTGGTTCCTTAGTTCCAATGAATTTTATAGATTAAATTTTCAGTCTCCTGAAGCTTGTTCATTAATGATATTCTGCAGCTACTCCCAAGAGAACAAAAAAAGCATGATTATCATGAGGCTGTTAAGAATCGGTATAAGCATCTCCCTGAGATCAAACGCATTGTGAGGTAAGACAAAACACCTTAAAATCTTAACTACTTATGTGCTCTTTCTTTTCATTTGAAAGCTAACAAGATCATTATGAAGATAAAATCTATATGAATAAGGAAGTGATGAAATAAGATTCATGATTTGGAAGAACTCGCTGATAATAATAGGACAACTTGGTGTGGTTGTCTAGAGCTCAACTTGTGATGCGGAGAAGAATTATAGAAATACTATTGTTATTATCATTTGAAGTAATAATATTTCTTTTGAATTACTAGTCCTAAATAGCTTAGTAGTTTAGTGTTATTTTAATTAGATCACCATCTTGATTTAATTACTATCTCTAAAAAAAGTTACATTTCAGTTATTGGTCTAGATTGGTTATGATTTATGTTCCTATTTAATTAAGGATTGTATTAATTAGTTTAGCTGTGAGATTCATTTCTAGTAATCATTGCTCTATCAGGACTTAGTATTAATAAGGCTATAAATATGTAAGCCCTACGAGTTGTGAGGAGAGATTCAATTATAAAAAATCCATATATTATTCTTCAATGAGAAGTTTTTTTGGTAGATTTTAAGATTTTAGATTTGCTTGGTGGATTCGGAAACTTCTTATTTTTTTAGTTTTCGGTAAAACACCTGTGCGTTCTAGGTTATTCATTTAGTTTGAAAGTTATCGAAGCACTCTTGTAAGCTTGAATGAGATGAAGTAAATTAGTTCTTGCTGTCCTGTGTCAACTGGATTACTCATGGGATTAAACATGCTGGACAAGATTATTTTACATGCATTTCAGTGCTTTTACTTGGAATCGATGCTTCAGGATGTAATATAAAACCATTAAATTTGACGAATAATACATGTGCAAGATCATGCATGCATAGAGACAGTAGAATTTCTCAAACTCAAGCCCTAGTCACTTTATTGTGTAGGAGAATCATTACTTGATTATTGCTAAATTGGTTGTCTGCCATACAAGTGGCCTTTGTATAGCTCTGGCAAAAGTCATTTGGGAGATCACCTTTTAAGAAGACAATGGACATTGGCTGCATACAGATTTTACTGCTGGAAGTTGGTTTTGCTGATTTATTTCTTTTGCACTGGATGACTATTCTGCAGGCACAGACACTTGCCTAAACCAATTTATAAGGCAACTGCTCTCATGCGCACCATGAATGAAGCCAGGAGGAGGAAGGAAGCAAGAAGGAAAGCTCATAGTGCTCCTGGAAGCATCATAACTAAGCCCCTGCGTAAAAGAAGAATCGTTAAAGAACTTGAGTGACTCCAGTAATTTTTCATCTGATGCTGGAACCTATATTCAAGTGCGTCTCTTCACCTGGATACGAGTATTTCAAGGGAATGGCTGCCTTCTTCTTCGTCATCCCGTCATGGCATGGCAGGAGTATATAATTTTATGGTGACTGGTGGGAGCATTTAACAACGGAAACTTTGATTGAGAGTTGAGGGGAGCAAGCAATTTTGTTGATGGTTTTCTTACCCTATTTCTGTTATATATGTATAAATTAAACACAATTAATTTTTCAATGAGTGAAGCTGAGTACTCAATTACAAATAATTTTTTGAATGAGGAAAGACTGAGTCATCGGTTACATGGTTACTGATGATTTTATTTTTTGAATCCGTTTAAAATGAAACTTTATTTGTAGGTTTTACTTGAAAATTTATTCTTTAGTGTTTTAGTGTAAATAAGAGAGGAACAGATATATAAAATAATAAAATGGATATATTAGATAGTAATAAACTTAAAAAACTGTACATTCTAAATTAGATTAGTTTTATTAGAATTTCAACCGTATTATTACCCACTTTTTGAATGAAAGTAAGAATATAATCTGTCCTCGTCAGAACTTGAATTAAATGCCTATACCTTTCTTCCCATTTTCTCAAAGATATGATATTTATCCTAGGAATGCTGCTATATGACCATCTCTTCATCTCATTTTGAACTCAAATATTGAAATGAATGGCGAAGTAAGAGAAGCTAGTAGAAAATGCTCGTTCAGCCACGCAAAATGGTGCAAGTCCAACAAATGAATCAAACTTTTACTCAAATATATTGGACTAGACTACAAGTTGACAAGCACATTTGATTTGGAAGATACATCATCTGTGGTTCACAACATCCCATGAAGAACTAGAGTGCTTAGTTCCGACAAGATTTTCTCTAAAAAGAAAATCCAGGAATACGCAAATTGGTGCAGAAAACGTTGCTGCTTTTCCAATGCCAATTCCAATCTACTAGGGTCGTCTCTTCCTATCATCTTCCTCCTCATCATCAGAATCACCACTCTCCCGGAAACGGGGATTCTTCTCCTTTAGTATTAAAAATGAAGATAGCACCAAAAGAAAACAATTTCAGGATCTGATAGGAGGAAATTATAACTATTCATTTTGATGTTTAAACTAGACCATCCATTTCATGATTGGATTAGTATCTTGCTATTTAATATCTACCCTATGGTGCTAAATTCACTGCATGAACACATAATTACTCTTAAAACAGCATGTCTAAAATGTTTAATTAAGCACCATAGCTAATTTTAAATGATTTAGATACTAATCCTGCCAAAAAAATAGACAGTCCAGTTTATATTGGCTAAAAAAATACAACTAAAATTCTATAAATTAAAGTGGTTCACAACAAAAGCTCTTATATCAAGTAAAAAATTCTTGGAATTATATATCTACATTTATATGCATAAAGAAAAGACAATTTGTGCATTACCGGTCGAGTCTCAGGATCAGAGTTTCTCCTTGAATCATAATCTGAATTTCTCTTTGAAGTCTCATGTGTATGGTGATCATCATCCCGATATCGCTTTCGATGGTAATCTGCTCATTCAAATAGAAAAGAAATCATTCTCTATGACTATGAACATGCAATCGAACATAAGCAACTAATATTTTTGGGCACCAGTAAATCTATCAAAGGGAAATACCTCTGCCATGACGATGATGAGAACCTCCATGACCGTGACTTCCGCCATGCCTACCATCTGCATTAACAAACCATTACTTCTTCCTGAAAACTGAAGATGTCATCCAAAGAATCAATCATCTATGCATACAATAAAAGAGGTGTTCCCATCAGCCTTTACTTTGTCAATGTTGCAACAACTTAGACAGATCAGATTTTCCTCATAAAGCTTTGAACCTTACCATCCACCATCTTCTTTTCAAACACTTGCCAATACCTCCTTCATAGTAAAAACTTTTTAAATTTGTATAAACACCTTCCCCATCATTCTCAAGTTATGATCCTTCTATTTTCAATTGTCACTAACCTTTAGATAGACATTCTTACAACTATAAGTACTAAAATAAAAGACGAAAGCAAACATTTATGTAACTCCAAGTACTAAAATAAAAGACGAAAGCAAACATTTATGTAACTCCAAATCTCACTTAATAGTCTAAAGTTTCTAATAACTTAAAATTATCTGAGAGTCTCACAAACTTACATTGTGGAGGCAGTACAGGCGGAAAAGAGCCCAATGACCCAGCACCATAATCTACAAGCTGCCTTTGGGCTTCCAATTCTCTCTGAACTAATTTTCCATAACCTCCTCTGCGTATTAGACGTTAAGGACACTGAAGATACACTCATATAGTCTTCCAGGCAGCCATGCAAAGCAATTGAGGCATAGATCAGTCACTATTCAATAATAAGGAACTATCATCTGATGAAACCTATTCAAATACAAAAAGGATAGTTCCTTTCCCCTTCCAGTAAGTTCAAGACAAACAGCCTTAACTAATATATGAGATCAAATGCTTGCAAACTTGAATGACCCAACTCAAGTTACAAACACAAATATAGTGATGAGGCACTTAACACTATGAAGACAGAAGCAAACAGCCAATGGAATTCCGTAAACCTACCATCAATGACGAGAAATATTTTTATCTGGCAGTAAAGCACATCAATTTTGAAGAATGTAATAATATCCATAAGTTGTATCAACACAACAACTTCTAGGGAAGACAAGCAAACTAGGGCTCAAGTGTTATAATGTGAATCACAGGTACAGTGTCCAAGCAACACAATTTCCAGTTACAGGGAACAGTCCAAACAAAGCTGCACACTAAAAGAAAAAAGAAAAGAAGCACAGAAGTAACCACAAAAATGCCACTTACAAAACATCTGTACTGCACCTAGTAAATATCTATCACATAAACTACCAAAGAAAACCAACAAAAATACCATAAGACAAGGGACCATCAGATAAGTTTCACCAATAAGAAAGCAGAGGGAGCTAACTGGAAATAGAGAAAAATTGGCCATGTTAAAGAACCACCAATATCAAGGGTCTCTACAGTCATTAGAATTAAATTTGTGCAAGGAAAAGGCCCAATGATCATAAAAATCATACATTCTTCACCTCACACAGTGAAATTAAAGTATTAAAGCAGGTTGACTGTCATAGTACTACACTAAAACTAAGGTCACAGGCTGAAAAGAAAAAGAAAACAGATGCAACGGAAGACCTTCATAATGGAAAACTAAATCTTTGTCAAACAATGTAACATACTATTCCTAACAGCTCCTTTTTAACCTGAAGTACATAAATGATTTGCAATGACACCAACGTCAACATGTATTATCATGCGGTCTAAGGAAGCATAGCCACTCCTTTAACTGGCCACCCATTTACCTCAAATCATTTTTTTCGAACTAACACCCATTTACCTCAAATCAAAGAGATACCTTTAACACAATCTGACTTTAAGTACATTATGAATAAAAATTATGAGAGGGTGTTTGGGCTTTTCTTAGATGGTTATATGCAGCTTAAAGTATCTACCTGTTTGGTAATGTTGTAAGCAAACCATTGAAGGTTTACAATAGGTGCAAGAGGCATGAAATGGCTGGTGCGGCCAACACCAGAAACAGTTAGAAGTGAGGGTGGCAAATATAAGCTTCCTATCCCTATCATTGATGATTTGCTAGATGAGTTATGTGAGGCTATAGTGTTCTCTAAAATTGATCTTTATGCTGATTACCATCAAATAAGGGTGCGGGAGGAGGATGTGTACAAAAGTGTCTTCCGAACATACCGCAGGTATTTTGAATATAAGGTGATGCCTTTTGGATTCACAAATACACACACCACCTTTCAAGCCCTCATGAGCCATGTATTCAAGGATTATCTCTGATTTTTTTTCTAATGGCATGCTGGTATCCAGTGGGAATGAAAAAGAACACCTGAAGCAGTTGGAAATAGTACCAACCTTGATGAGAAAGCACCAACTAAAAGCCAAGGGCACTACAGGCTCGTTCCTGCAACTAAGGACAGAGTATTTGGGTCATATTATCTCCGGCAATTGACTCAAGATAGACCCTCAAAAGATAGAAGCCATGTTGAACTAGCCACTACCAAAATCAGTGAAGCCATTGACAGGATTTCTGGAGGTCACAGGCTACTATAGGAATTTGTCAAAGATTACGACCTCATTGCTAAGCGGCTCATGGATATGCTAAAGAAAAGATCCTTCCATTGAACTGTTGAGGCAGAGACAGCTTTCCAACAGCTCAACAATTCCATGGTAAGTAGACTCGTCTCTGCTCCCTGATTTTTCAGTAACTTTCACTATTGAGCTGATGCTAGTGAAAAAGTATAGGAGCTATCTTTATGCATGAAATAGGTCTGTTGTTTTCATCAGCAAAGTGTTGTGCCCTCACAGTCAAGCTAGATCTATTTATGAAAAGAAATTGATGGCAGTGTTGTACATCATAACCAAGTAGAGACATTATTTGGAGGGAACGAAAGTGATCATTAAGACAGATCAAAGAAGTCTGAAGTACCTGCTTGAGCAGCGGGTTATCACCATGGCACAAAAAAAAGCATAATCAAGTTGCTAGGCATGAACTACACAATATAATACAAATAGGGGACCCATAACAGAGTAGCAGATTTGTTTTCATGCAAAGGATTTGAGGAGGAACCGGAAGCCAACCTACAAGGTATCCTCACGGTGTCATCACCCACATGGCCAAAAGAAGTGCTTAACAGTTGCAGAAGATTCTTTCTTGTCTAGACTTATAGAAAAGCTCATCCTATTCCCAGAGAGTTAACCCTCATAGAGCTACAACAAAGTCTTACAGAATAAGGGCCGTATCATGGTGGGAGCTGGTACAGCATTGAGGAGAAAATTTTACAACAATTTCACAACACGCATGTGGGAGGTCATTTCAGGAATTGCCACTTACAAAAGACTCGAACAACATCTGTTTTGGCCTGGGGTTAAATAACAAGTGGCACAATGGGTCAAAGGCTGTGTGGTTTGTGAAAAGTGCAAAATCGAGAGAGTCCCTACACCTAGCTTGCTACAACCATTGGCTATTTCATCTCAGTACTGGATTCACATATCTATAAACTTCATCGAAAAATGACCCAGTCTGAGGCTACAAACACTATTTTGGTGGTGGTAAACTGCTTCACAAATTACAACCACTTCATTGCACTTTGTCACCTCTTCACGGCTCAGGGAGTAGTCAAGCTGTACATGGACATGGTTCACTGGCTCCATGGCATTCCTAAGGTCATAGTCCTGGATAGAAACAAGATTTTCACAAGCATTTTTTGGAAGGAGATGATGCGATTGACAGGTATTGAGCTTCACTAGAGTTTTGCCTATCATCCACAGACAGATGGGCAAACAGAACGTCTTTATCAATGTTTGGAGAAGTATCTCCATTGTATGAGTCATCATTGCCCTAAGCTATGGTGAAAAGGTTGGCTTTAGCAGATTGGTGGTACGACACTACCTTCTACACTACCCTTAAAATGTCTCCCTCTCAAGCTGAATTTCCCCCTCCACACTTCAAGAAATGGATGACTTCCATCCTCCTTTCCCAAAGGCATAAGATTATATCTGCAGACGGGCTCAATTGAAGAGTGAGCTTCGCCAAGTGGTAGATCGTTTCACAAAGTACAACCACTTCATTGCACTTTGTAACCTCTTCACGACTCACTGAGTATTGAAGTTGTACATGGACATGGTTCACCAGCTCCATGACATTCCTAAGGTCAGTCTTGAATAAATACAAGATTTTCACAAGCATTTTTTGGAAGGAGATGATGCGATTGACAAGTACTAAGTTTCACTATAATTTTGGCTATCACCCGCAGAAAAATGGACAAACAGAACGTCTTTATCAATGTGTGGAGATGTATCTTCATTGTATGACTCATCATCGCCCTAAGCAGTGGGCGAAATGGTTGGGTTTAGCAAAGTGGAGGTACAACACCACCTTCCACACTAGCCTTAAAATGTCTCCTTTTCAAACTCTCTATGAATTTCCCCCTCCACACTTCCAAGAAGCAAATGACTTCCATTCTCCTTTCCCGGAGGCATAAGATTATATCTGCAGATGGGCTAAATTGAAGAGTGAACTTCACCAATTGTTACTGCAAGCACAGCAATGTATCAAGCAGTATGAGGACAAGCACCGATGTGACAGGACCTTTCAAGTTCATGACTTGGTCCTATTGAAGCTTCAACCTCACAGACAAGGGTCTTTGGCCCGGAACTTCTAAGTTTTCTCCTCGCTCCTCTGGACCTTTGAGGTCATTAACAAGGTTGAAGAGGTAGCTTACAAACTCAAGCTACCCTCATCTTCCAGGATGCTCCCTGTGTCCCATGTTTTCTCAGCTTAAGAAATATATAAATGGTAAACAAGTGCACTTCAAGAATTTACAGTAATGTATGGAGAAGGGTTTACAACTGTGTAGCCAGAAATGGTGCAATAGTGGCGTAAGCTTTTCAAAGATGGAAGGGAAGTCGATAAAGTACTCATGCAGTGAAAGGGTGTTAACACTGGTGAGTGTACTTAGGAAGATGCAGACTTCTTCTACAAACAATTTCTCAATCTCAACATTGCAGACAAGGTTGCTGCTCAAGGGGGGTGGGGGGAGAGGAGGGTATTGTAAGCAAACCATTGAGGTTTACTATAGACGCAAGATGCCAATTGGTTGGTGGGACCAATACTAGAAACAGCTAGTAGTAGAGGGTAGGCCAACGTTCTGTATGAGCAGGAAACCAATAGAAATATAAATAGGTTTGTAAACAAAATGAAGAGAACTAAAAATCGAATATATTCAAATTCAAACTCTATCTTCCTTGTTCTCTCTTCTTCTTCTCTCTGTTCCCTACTCCCCACTATGTCGAAGCTAGATGTCCAAAGTTTCTGATAGTAAGTAAGATGCTTGTTAAGTACTAATAATTAATCTTAAACCCAAAAAAACCCACCACTCTCTGGGCTTGTTTTATTTTTTTGTTTTTGCTTTTAGTGCTTTTCTCCTCAAGAGATGCCTTAGATGCTTATTTTCTTAACATATTCAAACACTTCTTTACCCTATATATTTATTTATTTCATAAAAATATAATAAATACATTTTTATCATAAGCATTTTATTCAAACACATAACTAACTTATTTTTTAGATAAGCATGTACTTAACTTAAGAGCAATTATAGCCTTAAGAACATTTCTCCTAGCAATTCTAAACACCCTTTAGAGAATCTAAAACAGGAACATGGGAGCTGATGTACTAGAATGCAAATACTTGGCAAATATGTTTTTTAAAATATCATATCAAGAACCATTCATATTTCCTCCTCATCCTGTAATCTCTGGTAACAAGAGGGGAGTCGGCAAATAAAAGCAGAATAATACATACACACAATACAGATATTGTATGAGAATAAATCATGGCTATTAAAGTAAAAATGCTGAAGGATATCAGGATCATAATCAGTACGATATTCATCCCGCACCTGTACAAACAGAAAAAAGAAAAAAAAATTAAAGCATATGAAAGGATGGACCTTAAGCAGTAGTTGACAAGTAAAGCAACTTACCTGTCCACCACTTTTGCCACGGCCCCATTGCCTACCATCAACAAAACCCCAATCAAAGTCCACACGGATAGGGCGATCGTCAAGAATCGTCCCACTTATATATTTTACTGCATCCTCAGTATCTTCTCTAGAGTAGAACCTGATTGAAACATGGTTATAAACAGATCGGTAACACAAAAATTACCCAAGACCTCCAAAGATGGGAAAATGTGCCAATAAGAAGTCCACATTGTGGCAGATCAAGGCACCAGAAGAATGAGTTCGTAAGCATTAGAGACTAGCATCATATCTAAAGCGAGAATGATTGAATGAAATAACCTCAGGCATTAAAAATTCTTCATATTCTTTAGCCCCATTTTGAATCTAATGATTGTAGGGAAGAATTGACACTCACAATACAAAACAAAAGCCACAAGGTGTTTTTGTATTCTTATCCAAGCCCATAATTATCTTCTTAATTTCTCCAGCTCGGGAGAAAAGCTCATAAACCTGTTCTTCAGTTGTATAAAAGGACATGTTCCCGATATAAATTGTTGTTGAGTTCTGGAGCGCTTGTTCAAATTCTTCTTGTGTTCCAGGAAATCTTCTGTCACGATATGCTGAAAGTTTTGATTGATCCTAACACAAGAAATTAATTGCTTCATAAGGAAAGTAGTTTTTCATACAGTTAAGTGAGCAAACAAACAATTCACACGAACAAAGAAGTATGCAATATACAATATATTCACTTTTTTTAAAAGAATATAATTTTCTTAGTTCAGATGTATTAACCTGCAAAGATGGCCCAAAAAGCAGGAGAAAATCTTCTTGTAACATTACAAATCATCATTCTAAATCTTGAAACCTAAAGTAAACTACAAATTGAAAACTCCAAAATTCTGATGAAAGATAAAACAACAGACAATTATCAGCAAGATTCGCATAATTGCAGTATGCGTCTAATATATTGTTCTTGGTTTCGTGAGACATGAGTTCTAGATTCATAAGATGCATACTGCTATATTCCTCCCGGCCTTCGACTCCAAAACCCAACTTAATTCACCTTTTTTTAACCAAATAGCCATAAGGTAACATATCTTCTTGAGCCAAATCATTCAATTTATAAACAGTTCAATTAAACTAAAATGCCTATTCACCAGAGGGCTGTGTTTTCATTTCTCCAAAAACACCCAAAAAATCAGCCTTTAAAGGGAAAAGAAAACGAACTGGGTGTTGATATACCTTGAAGAGAGAAGCCATATTAGTAGTTGATTTCACAGCTTATTTTGTCTGCAACAGAAGTATATGAGACACAATTTTAACTAGATTTGAGTGCCTCAAAGTAAAGGCTTATTCAGGAGAAACGAGAAAATGGAGTGAAAGGGAAAAATAAGAACCAACACAGTAATTACAGTAGAAGATGAGAGGAAAAATGAAAACGACGATCTGTGTTTCTGCTTTGAGAAAAAAGAAAAGAACAACATAACAAGGTTTGAGACCGAATTAACAAGGAACTAGATAAAGAAAATAAAAAAGGTTCAGCTCTTGGAAACCTAGCTACTATATTCGCAGAAATCGCGGGACGAGGGAGAGAGAGTACAGGGAATGCTGTGAGGGATAGTAGAAAGGAAAACTGAAGAGGGAAATCGGGTCTTGGATAAATTCGCTGTGTTTGGCTGCGAGCTTAGGAGGATCAAATTCTGGCTGAGAATAGTATTCTATTCTATACTTTCCAGTAATTCGAGGGGGGGAATTTACTAATTTTGGGATATGGAGTATTTGTTTTATTTGATAATTTTATATTGAAAACAATGGAAATTTAAAAATTGAAAATTATAAATTATTTAAAAAGGTCAAAATTAATAACTATTTGTACACTAAAATTTTAATATTTTAAATATCATAATTATTTAAAAAATAATAATAAATTTAAAAATAATATATATGTTTGACAACTTATTTTACAGAGAAATTTCAAATATATGTAACCTTTTTCCCGTAAAAAAGAGAAAGAGACTCAGAGAGGAGCAGCACTATCTCCATTTCCAAACAGCATGCTTTGAGCATAGGGCTTTAGACCGAGGAAGATTACATGAAGCTCAAAACCCTCTTCCATTTCGCCAAATAGTAAACTTTCCTTCTCTACAGCAAGCAATGGCCTCCTTTGCAGCCGCCAGATCCATTTTCCGTTCGACATCGGCTCGCAGCGCCGCGGCTCGTGTGGCTTCCCAAGCAAAACCTGCTCGCTCTCCCTTTCGCGCTCCCGCCAAAAGCCCTTCCTCGTGCTATTCCAGGTTAGTATCAAGCCGACAATCTCACCCCCCGCTCTTAGAATGAAATACCATATACATTTATATGTATAGCATAATGTAATCTTAGGTTTGTGTTTTCTCTTGTTTTTTTATATATTGGTTTCGCTCTTACCTGACTTGGCTAAACAGAGTTTTAACAATCTATTTTTGTGTGTGCATATGATGTATCAGTTTTAAGCATTAGTATTTAATTACTCGAACTAATACAGGTGTCCAGTTGAAATGAGCTTCTGCGTGGAATCCATGCTGCCGTATCACACTGCGACTTCTTCAGCATTGATGACTTCCATGCTTTCCATCACTCGCCGCAGTTATGGATGGCTCCCTGAAGGTATTATTCCATCCGTCTGCTCCTTTGGTATTTATAATTTCAGTTGCTTCTATGTTTGGATCAATTGACGAAAAATGTGATCTTGATTTGATTCTGACTACATTACTTTTACATCTCATATCTGCACTGTGTTCGTGGTAATGTTATTATTAAACATGTGCTGTTATTTGTTGGAATTAGAAAGTTTTTGCTTACATTGTGTTGGTGGCGTTTTCTGCTCATTCAAGGGACTGCTGTTTCGGATTGAGTGCCAATAGAATGATACTTGTTTTGTTATTGGCCTATAATGTGGTTGGCAGTATTCAGAAGTTGCATCCGACTTCTATGGTTGTTCTGTATCAAATACTTGTTTTGTTGTTGGGTCAGTAAATGTGATTGGCAGTATGGTTTGGCAGGAGATGCATCTCATCGTGTGTGGTTGTTACCCTTTTGTTTGTTAAAATGGTAGTATGCTTTTAGGGTTCCCTAACCAGTGGGTTTTTGTTGAATTAGGTATCTAACAACGTTTGTAGGGCCCTTGATGTGCTTTAATTTTCTGGTAAGTTGGTGTTTGCTGGATGTTGACTTAAAACTATTGGATATGTATTGAGAACTACTAGCTTAAAACTGTACATATCATATGCATAGTAATTGTTGTTAGCACAAACCATAGGATATCTAGGTTTTAATCAAATTAGATAGCATAACAATGCCCATTTCCTCATGCAAACCCCTAAGTCACCTTTTCCCTCTAATAACTAATGGAAATGGTGGGCCGTGTCAGAGATTGATGGCATCTATTAATGCCTCATTTGTCTATATCTGTAACTTTCCATCTTGGAAATAAATTTAATCTTCCATTCCCTTATTCCTAAATTATTTTGATAAAAGAAGTGTATACTCCTTTTTGCTATGTTGTAGGCCAGAAGAAGACTAGATGAAGATCAAGGAGCAAAGATGGAATGATTCAGATTTGTTTCTTTTTCCATAGTTCTTAAGCTACTAGGAAATGCCACCATCAATAGACTAGGCAGTAGTTTTTTATTTCAAAGAACTGGTTAGAACTTTATGTAAATGAAGAATTTTGAGTGATGGATTCCTTGGGAGCTCTTTGAGAGGATAAAATGATAAATTTATGAACCATTATTCTTGTATTAGTTGGAAAGAATTCTTTTTATGTATGTAATGATATGGTATTCATTTTAGAGTATCCAGCATTTTTCTTCATTAGAACTGAAAGTTTTAACTACTAGATTCAGATTCAGAATGCTGAAAATCTTCATTTTTGGTATAAAATTCTGGGAAGTCTTTTTTGAAGTATGAATCTCTTCCTTTGGTGCATGTTCTTTTGGATTTATAAGTTTGAAAAAGAATTTGTATGCTTTATTTGGGCCATAGCGTGACTATGAATCTTTCTTGCCAAATTACAATTCGTAAGTGAATCTCTAGGATTTTCCCCAAGTTTTCTTGTTTTTCCAATGGAGTATGATATTTTCTGATTACTTATTGATGTCACGCTCTTGTAACATCAATCCATTTAATGATGAAAGAATGTACTGATGACCCACCCTTGTTCATTCAGCTTGCAATGATGATGTGTGATGAATGTTCAGAGGAGCTAAGCCAGTTTAAGTTCAAAATTCTGCATTCTTAGAAGTGACAGCTGATTAACTAGAAGTTTTGTATGAGCTCCAAGGAGGACAAGTAGCATTGAAACATAGTTGAATTAGCATGCTTCATTTTGCTTGAGCCTTGAGGGTTTTGTGTTTTGTCTGATAATGCTTATTTTTAGCTCCCAGGCACTAGGTGCAAAACTATTGTAAATCAGAAAAATGTTGACATTGAATGCCCTTGTTTTCTCATTTTATACAATAATGTTAAGAAGATCATAAAGCTTCTTGCTAATATTTTATATATACTCAGCTTGCAATGATGATGTCTGATGGCTGGCCCATGGATTCAAGAGAAGTCTTGTTCAAATGTTTCTTACATTCAAAAGAAAATGATGCCTGATAAAACAAAATCTGTCAACTGAGATGTCTTCTCAGTGTTTTCATCCAGAAAACTTTTCCCCCTATCTATTTCTTTTCATTTTTGTATCTTTTGCTTTTGTCTTTAGGTCATGAGGACATGTGTAAAAATATTTGACAATTTTGCTCTAATAAAGACCATGTGATGTTAGCTACTACTTCTTGCCAACCATGATATCGTCAAATTAAGGTGAACTTTGTTTTAGACTTAATTTTCTCAAGTTAGAAGCGCAGCAGCAAACAGCAAAAGTTTGTTATGTTGTGGATATCTCTGATAAACTATGCATATGTACTTTTATCGAAAGAAACTTATTATGTGTATGCATATATATATCCATTTTGGTTATGAATTTGAGACACGACAGTTTTACCTTAGCAAGTAATAATAGTATCACCATCTAATACAGAATTGCCTTGTATTATTGTTTCTTTTCTAATTTCACAAGCAGATGGTAGAAGAGGTGAATTCCATAAATATGCTTCATTATAATTGACTTTTTAGCCTTTAAGGCAGACAGATTTCTTAGTTCTGACCTTTATCTTTTGCTTGTTTAGGGCTGTAGTATCAACTAAATGTTGGCAATTCCTGGAGATGGGCAATGTTGTTTTGCTTTTCCATTTTCTTCCTCCTCCTTGTTTTTGCCCTGAACTTGGTGTAGAGTTTCTGTCTTGTGGCATTCAATTTAGCCATGAAAGTTGATTGCTGCTAGTTTTCGAGTAGTTGACCTATATAATGCAATGCCCTAAATCCATATTTTATTCATGAACTGTAGACCGATGATGTTATCAAGGTATGGTGATGCAGTGTTTGGGAAGAATTTAGCTGTGGATTCGACACCGATCTTCTCTATTTTACTGATAACACATTGCTTAGGTAAGGGTACGGGCGAAATGAGATGCTTGAGACATCAGGTGGTTTTGGTTGCCCACATGTATAAGCCTTCCAAGTCTTAAACGCCCAACTAAATTACTGTTTTTAGGTTGCGCCAATGATGGATTTAAGTCATGAAGCTTATGGTTCATGTTGAGGTGTTGAATCAATTCTCCTTTCTTTTGTTAATGAAATTTTTTTTTTAAGTTCAATGAACTTTTCAGAGGTACTATCATATCAAAATGTTGGATTTGCGTATGGTAATAGCTATTAGATGCCTTTGGTTAATTTTTAATCAATTGTAGTTAATTGTGACTTTTAAAACACTCTATTAAACTATGATTCAAAGAAATTCAATCCTCATGCGAAGGGTTTTTTGCCCTTAACAACGTATAATATAACATGATGGACAGTTAACTACCAAACTAAAAGCACATGGCTTTAAGATAAAACATCACAGTGATATCCATATGGGAAAGACCCTTGTAATTTGGTGACAATAAGAGCGCATTCGACTTCCATTAGTTGCGAAAATCTTTATATTACGAGCAAATGCTTAAGGTTCCTCTGCTACTGACCCTTCTCTCACAAGGACTCTTCCACGTTAACTCCAAAATTCAATAGTCACTAAATTAAATAGATTACACCAAGTGAAGGGAACTGTTTAGATTCTTTTACATACGTCTGCTCTTTCATATTCTTGCTTTAAAGTATTTTTCTACTAGCAACTTATGCATTGAAATATATAAAATATAAAATCATTTATATGCTGATCTGAACAAGTTATTTTTAACAAAGAGATCACTTGCTCGACTATTACGAATGTAAAATAACTAAATACGTATTCAATATTTAATGAAAATTTTTATCGAAAAAAATTTTAAACGTATTGATATTATTAAATTTTTCAGTGCGGATAATATAAGTTGCGATATATTTACAAACTAATTGCATGCGTGAACTCATATCAAATCTGCAATATGTCTAATATAATATTAAACATGACAATAAAATATGTCATAAAAGCAAAACCACTACTCTAATAAATAAAATTTTTAATATTATGATTATGTTTTTTTTTTTTTAATTTGGATAATATTAATTGTTATATATCTAGAATATTAGTAATATACTTGAACTCATATAGGATATAAGATATACCTAGTACAATTTAAAGTATGATAACAAAAGATGTCATAAAAACTAAATCAGGTAACAAGAAATTACACTATCATAATAATGTAAATCATCAGTGTTTAAATAATTCTTGAACTCAAGTTTTTGATTAAGAATATTAACATGTTATTAATAAACAACAAAAAATTAGCCTAAGTTAAATAGCGCAAAACACATAATTTTCTCAAAGAAAAGGCACTAGAGAACTTCATTTTGGACTCAATATCAATGGAAACTTGGATCAAGGCGTAAAAATGATCACTTTTTAGTTCTGAGAAAAAAATTCAAACCCCTACTAAATAACTCATGATTAATTTTTCGTATTAGTGGAGCTATGTGAATCCCATGAAAGTTGAAAATGATTGGAGTTTGAAGCTTGGCTCTGTATGCTCACCTGTTTGGAGCTCTGCGTAGTTAGATACTTCCATTTGGATATACGTGAGGAACTTCCAGTGGCTTTGATTATTCTTTTGGTGCAACTTTAAGGTCCCATTTGTTACCTGCTTATTGCTTACTGTTGATGAACTGGTGATATTACTCTAAGATGAAATAATCCGTTCCTTAACACAGATTAGTCTTTCTAACCATTAATCAAGATCTCATTTAAGAAAATCTCAGAAACATCCAAAATTTTAAATAAAATCCTGAGTTAGTTTCTCTGTTATCCAACTCTGCTTTTCCATTAGTTGACATCTACTAGATGAGATTTTTCGGCACACTTTTCTCCAATTTAAGTTCCAAAAAGGGTTCAGAGCGGGTTCTGTCATTTCTCCGAAAATTCAGAACATCTGATTCCATTTTCTACTACTCTTCTGCTCGTAAAGGCAAAGGAAAGGAATAGGTTCAATTAGAAAGTAAAACTACCGAAAGGACATTAGCTGCAATCTGTATACGAATCATTAAATGGCATTTCGTTTACAGTTCATGTTTCAACATTCAAAACCAAGCCCTCTGGTGATAAAAAAATATTTCACGTCCAGGAGTGCAATACAAATCACTGATCCGCAACATTGACTAATTCATATTCAACTAATGAAAGATTGTTTTCCTTTCTAACAGTGAAAGAAGCAGGCTCTGCCACTTCAATGCGCCCCCATTTATCAACCGTTAACCTCATTGTCCCCTTGAACATGTCAATCTTAGCATTTCGCAAGATAATTGTTGCGCCAGACTTCATAATATCAACTGCATTCCAATAAGCTTACTTTTAGTACATAATATTATCAATGATGACGATCATCTATTGCACTCACACACTGGCCAAATAAGGCCCTTGTATTGTGATCACTTCAAAAACATGCAAATACAACCTCTAAGAAATTAATGCGGATGACTACAAGGGAGTTTGAGACAGGAACACATTCAACAAACACATAAAGTGCCTGGACAAAATGCCAAAAGAAGAAGCACGTCCAACCAACCCAGAAATATGAAAAATATGTATTTACTATTAAATGAATATAATAAATGGTTAATGGTGATGCACATTTAGAAAAAGAAAAGCACAAACTCAGATAAAAAAAAATGCGCAATGAAAAGAGTTAATTTCTGAAACTTCCAGAACAGCTCAAAAATCATACAACAGTGAAACAGAAATGATATGCAAAAGAACAAATCTAAAGTTTCATCTTTTTGACAACTTAGTCTTTCATAGAATCTGATCTGAATTAGAGAGAGGCGTGGAAAAAAAAGGGAAGGAAACGAAAAATAGTTTATTCTAGAAAATGGGTACAATCCCAAGATATAACATTTTGCATCAGCTACAAAGTCCAACAGGAACCTGGATTAATTGAATTTCATGTATTTTTGCCATCAATGCTTGTCTGTGCCTCATTGTGTCAGATGATTTTAAATTTCCTCCCACCCACATTTTCTACATAGCAAAATGTGCAAGACCAGAAAATGATAGCCCGGAAAATGATAGACCAGAAAATTAGGTGTTCACAATTAAATGGAATAAATGTCGAATCCAGGCCCCTCCCTCACCACCCAACCCAACCACCAACCAGAAAGTTGAATAGGATTTTCCCTTTCTCACATTTTCTCTTAAACCAAAAACTGTACGGTGAATATGAGCAGCACAAAAAAGATAAAACTATCTCAATAACAATATTCAAAACCCGAAACCAAAAATTTTGAACTTCGTTCTATATAAAGAAAAAAATCTGTTACTCCATACTTCATAGTGCATTTGTAAGTAAATAAATCAACCAATTATGTCTTTATACAAGAGCATTTCAGCACGCAACGCAAATAAAGAAATCATGTCCAACTTAAAAATCGCATAGAGTTACCTAGCAACGAACATCAACATACATCTCAAATATCAATGTTGCAAGATCAAAATAAAAAGGCAGACAAGCCTGAGAACGCGTGTAAAATGCACCATATTAACGATTATATGCGCACATATAGACGGTATATACACACACACATATATATACCTTGGTCATTGCGAGCGGTGAAAAGGATAGAGCCAGTCTCGTCGCCAACGAGGCACTCAGCAATTCGAGAGGGGCGAAGAGGCTGAGTCAGAGACGCCACGGACCGGCCCTTGCGGATGGCGGGCTTAATAGGATTGGAGTCAACGACCTTGACGGTCAATGTGTGGCCACTAGTCCCTGGCTTTAGCTGATCGACCTTCACGAACACGGGCTTCCTCTTCGCTGTTCCCATTCCCGTTGCTGCCGTTGTCGCCATGATTCAATCCCCACTTCACAGCCCCTCAAACCTAGATTTTACTTCGGTTAGTAGAGGGAAGCGGACGGTGCAGCAGTAGACGTGTAGTAGTGGAACTCGTTATAAAGAGGGGTTAGGGTTTTTTGCAGGGTAGGATTACGGATCTGGGCTTTGGTGAGGTAGTCTGCATGGACTTTGTACCTGTACACGTGGTGGCATTTCATTGGATACTCTTATTATTTTAGATGTATATCTTTTAATTTCTATTTTCTTTTGAAAAACAATTAAAACATTTTTTTTTTTTTTTAAATGCTTTGGTTGCTTTTGATAATTTAGGAGGCTATAGTGGAAAGTCGAATAAAACGGGATATAATTTCTTTAATTTTGAAATAATTGTTCCGAGTTTGGTGTTTAATTAGGTTAAAAATCTTTAATATATTTTTATTGTTAATTAACTCTTTACATTTTACAAACTACAACATATAAAAACAAAATTATATAAAAATAATCGGAATTTTATTTTATTTGTTATTACTTATTAATTATTTTGTTCGACCGAAGTGAAGAAAAAACATTTCTAAGTATATTTATACCAAATTGCATTTGGTGGTGATGGAGGAAAAAAAATAACGCAGGATAAAAACAAATACGAGCATATTAGCACTGATGAAATGTCCTATAAAAATATTGCATACTGTAATTATATGCTATACAATAATATATATATATATAATATTCTTATACTAATAATATAATAATTTCGTCTCAAATTACTTTAGAACCAACCATGTGAGATAAATAAGAAACCCTAAAAAGCACTAAAAAAAGGTTTTTTTTTTTTTTTTTAATGAAAAAAAAAAAAGTTGTTATACACTAATTCATCACACCTACATTGATATTACAGTTAGTTAATTTTGTTGGCATTGAACAATATGCCTTTATCTATGTAGAGGTAACGAGTTTATTGTTGTTAGAAATAGAAATACTTCACTGGGATCCCTCTGCTTCTGCCACAACCACTGCATGTTGTTCCTCTGGTTTCTGCTCCTGCTCTTTTTCCCCTCCTCCTTCCCCTTCTTCTTCCCCTGATTTTGGCACTAGATGCTGCCTGCTGTAACGGATTACTACGATACAGATGAATGCTGCAAACACCAAACAACGTTTTTCAGCATCTTCCATAAAAAGCCCAACAATCTGAACTTCTGTGATCCTTGTTGAAAAAGATTCTATGTGGGTTGCAACAATTGAGTTCAGTTCCATAAAATCCACATTATTTGTTTCAATTGTTTGAAATGGATTGTGTTCATACCTGTCAAAATGCGGGTTTTCACACTGGACAGATTCCAAAAAGCAGTGACTGCTGATGCAGCTACAATCTTCTTGTGAGAGCATCCTCCCCATGTTTCCATTATCCTTTTTTTCATGCTCTCAACTGCACCCACAACACTCACTCGAATAAACCATGGGTATATAAACACAAACCAGCCCGCACCACTTCAAGAATTATGGAAATTTCCATTTACCTTTTTGGTTTACTACACTTGAGTAGCATGAGTACAGCTTTGGGATAGTGAAACTTAGGAAAAACCCTGCCCAATCCCACAACAACAATGATCAAGATGTTGTGTCAAGAAGTAAGATAAATAATGAACGACTTTGATTTGACTATGTAGTGTAGGGATAGATACTGATCGTACCAAATGCGCACAATCTCCAAAGTGTAATAAGGTGGCCATACTCAGCTCCTAGAAGAAGAAATGGAATTACCTGAAACCAAGAACCCATTAAAGCAAAATTCAAGACATGGATTTTTAAATATGTAAGTCTGGTAGTAAATTACTTTGAGGGTCGTAGATGGTTCTCCTGAGAAGAGATCTCTTGTCTTTGAGATAGCAAGATTTGTTGCTGGAAGTATTGGCCTAGCCATTCTCAATATATCATCTTCTCTCAGCTTAAACTCACTCCTCTTTTCCTCACTTTTTCTGTAAATCATCAAATGCTATATTCAAAAACAAAGCTTGGTAAAACTTGGCTAGAAACTAAGAGTGTTTACCTTTGGCAGAAAGAGTTGGAAAAGAATGATGCACCCAGAAACAGAAGTCCAAGTTGGGAGACCACCGAAAATATGCTTACAAAATAATAGAGTTTCAGTTGCACTAAACACAACTCAAGGGGTTGACAATGAAGAGATGAAGAAATGAGGAGATACCCACCTAAAGTTAATCCCTCTGGTGAAGCAAGAAGACAAGAAAGATAAACAGCCAAAACCAAACCAGAGGCTTGACTTGGCTACATCTCTCCACATAACCAAATCATAAATCAGTTCCCCGATCTCATCTAGATTACCTCGATTAGCATCATCAACTTCTAAATTAACCAAACAGAATAGCTCAGTACACTTACTATGAAAAAGGAAAAGAAGAACAGCAAAAGAAGCAGAAGACGGCTGATACATACTTGGGGATGAGCTTGAAGAAGGTACTGAAACGACTAAACTGAGCTTTTCTTTCTTAGACCGTACACTTTGTCGCCTCTTCCTTACCTTTCTAATCTCTTCCGCAACACCCAATTCTCTGTCTTCCCTCACCTCCAGCTCAGATCTTCTCCTCGACCTCCTATTATTCCTCGGCGAGGCACAACCCATAAGAGCCATTTGGGTTCCCCTGTTTTTGCACCTCCTGCGTGCCGACCCAGCATGATCCACAGCCTCATCTGCAGCCATGTCAAGCCTATCCGCGAGGCGGGTCCTTGATTTTCGTAAGGGAGAAGGAGACAGAAGGAGGAGTTCTTGAAGAGGAAGAGAAGAAGCTGAGGGTGATGGGGTGTTCTTGGGAGATGAAGATACAAGGTCGAGAGAGAGATTTGGGAATTCTTTGTTGGGAGCAATAACTGAGTAAGTAATTCTCGCGAGGCGTGAGGCTGATTTGGTTTGAGAGTTGGGGTTTGATCGGTGAGCAGGTGGTGGGGTTGAATCCATTTATGGTCTCAAAGTGAGTGGCTTGGAGGCTGGACTGAGAGCGAAGATCAGGGAATGTCTTAACTGCGCAAGAAATTACAAAGATTTGAGAGGATTCTAGGGATGTTGAAAAAGGGTACATATGCTTCTGAAATCTGAAGGGGGAAAAAAAGAAATTGTGAGGTTTGATTGAAGGTCTTGTGATGCGAGGGTTTTTAGTTCTTGAGGAAAATGAAGAATGGATTAAGAGCCGTTGGAGACTCTTTTAGAATTTGAATTTTTGACGGCGGGCGTCAGTGGGGTAATGGGACTTAACGGTAAAGAAGAGTCGCGTGTTTTTGTGCCGTTTGTCACTTTCCTTAGTGGAGGGCCCATTTCTTGAACAAAGGTTTGTGGGCTTCCTTATGGGCTAAATTCGGTTTTTCCATAAATGGGAATGAATGAATATATATATATATATATATATATATACACCTCTGTGGCCTCTCAATTTTTTATATAATATTTACATATTAAATTTTTAATGTTCGTTATAATATTTTAAAAAATAATTTATATAATATATATATATAAATTATATATTAATAGTTTATTATTACATGTAAAAAAAAATAGAATTATATTAAAATAGATAACTATTATATATCTATTAACAGATTAATCTTTTACATATAAAAATTATTTAAGCTGAAAAAACTTTTTTTAAAAAAAATGAGGAATTGCCACCCGATAAACTTTGGCATTAGTTTGACATATATAATATATTTTTATGAAATAAATACGTCATTCATGACGTGTAAATATGCGATAAGAATTTGTATAATATATTATTTAAAAAAAAAAATTGTTATATAGTATATAATTTTACACTATGTAGTCAGCTAAAAATAAATATATTTTTATTTTTCTCTCAGAAAAACTTTAGTTAGGTGATTGTGTTACATTTATCACGTAATTTTTGTGCAATTATTTAAAAATTAAATTTTATTTTTGTAATTAAAAAATTTAATACATATTTTATAATCAACTAAAAATTAAAAGGTTATTTATATGCTATAATATTATAAGATTGGACTTGGGGTAATGGTATGTAGATTTAGAATGCTAACCATGAAATCATATTTATACAAGAAGCACCAGTTATGCTGGAGAATAGACTTGCTTATTTTATAATTATTAAATTAGAAAAAAGAGAATTAATTTTTCATCTATTAAATAAAAATTAATTGACTTTTATTTATTAAATTTATAGTTCCACCCACACTACAGGGATGTGAAAAGTGATTTCCTACAATTACGGCTTTTTTTTTTTTTTTTGGTTATAATTCATATTAATAAATTATTTAAATTTATTATGTCACCGTCGATATAGATATTAATTTTAAAATGAAAATTATTTAAATTTATAAGAAATTAAAAATTAAGATAATATTAGTAGGAACTTTAATCGTAGACAAATTGTAATTCATTTCAAAGGACACGAATATTATTTCTACTTGGGATGTTATTACAAGAAGTGGGAAGACAAATCCCAAGCATCTAATCTGACCAGAATGTGCGGATCAACTCCCCCCTTTATATGTGTTTTTAGTAAAGGGAAAAAACCCTCAGAACCCAAAAAAAAAAAAAAAAAACAAGGGAGAAATTTCATTCAACTGCAGAAACAGATCTAACGCCCGTCATCACTCCTTTCTGTATGAATCTAATGCCTACGGGCAGCAGCATGCCTGTCATAATATGCCTTTAACCTCTCCAGCCCATCTTCAAGAACTGAACGATCAACGCCAAGCGATATACGAAGCCAATTCTTCAAACCCAGAGCGTCTCCTGCACCAATTTTTCATTCCAGTACACAACTTAGTAGCGGATCAAACAATTGATACACAAGGAAAAATTCATTATGTTTCTTGTGGGACTGGAAAAATGTTATTATTGAAAGTACCTGGGAGGACAATGACTGCTTCCTCTTTGGCCAGCTTAAGACAGAAATCATGGTCATCTTCAATGTCTTCCAGCATTGATAGATTCATTTTTAACTGTGATTTCCCATGTAATAACAGTTAATTAGCTTGTTTCTCTCAGTCGCAAATGATATATTATGTAAGCCTTACCAGTAAATATGTACAGGACTCTGGTTTCTTGACACAAGTTAAGGCAGGCATGTCCCTGATTTTGTCAAGGGCAAAGTCTAGATTCTCTCTTAGGAGTTGAAGTTTATCTTTAAAAAATTCCTCCTTGGTATTATTAAGTATTCCAGGAAGAGCCGCCTGATACATCATAAGCCATATCAACACTGATGCCTCAAAGATCTTAAGCAGGGAAAAATATATATCTATCTGCTTCAAGATTGAATTTAAAATCCCACCGAGTTCTTGAAAGATTCAACCACGGAAGCTATTTCATTAATGTTCAATTCCAGTTGCACAAACCTGAAGGAAAGTTACAGCATCTGGAGTGATGTACTGACAGCTTCTGATGGAATCAACAACCTGATAATGAACCAGATATGCGATTAAGTTAACAAAGTGTAATTAAGTTATACTTAACGACGAGATAATCAAGGGAAGAGAAGTAACCCCAGTTCTTTTAAAGACGCCATAAGGATCATTCATTGCCATCCAACCAAGGCGCCAGCCAGGAACATACCATCCCTTTGACAGAGCTCCAAGAGTAAGAACAGGAACAATGGATGAGAACTTCCCCATTGGAACAAATGGGCTACACCCATATATACAATGATCATAAACCTCATCAGAAATCACCATTACCCCAAGCCTTCTTGCAGTCTCCGCAACCTAAAAATTTCACTCACAACTCTTAATTAATTCCCACCAACAACACAAAAAGTAAATAATCTGTTTTTAAAATCCATTGTCAATAAACAAACCCACCTTCTTCAAATGTTCATAAGTGTAGACATTTCCACAGGGATTGTTAGGGTTTATTATAACCAAGGCAACAGTGTTCTCATCAGCAAGAGCTTCAATACCTTCCAGATCAATCTCCCAGTCCTTTTCTGGAAGAAGATCAAAGTGCCTCGCTTCATATTGGCTAAAAACAGCACGAGCCTCGTAGTGAGGGAAACCGGGTCGGGGCAGCAAAATGTTCGCACCCGGACGTTGAAGCACTGTTAGTATTATCTCAATCGCTTGGTTACATCCAACCGCGAAGAATATGTCATCTCCTGTTAACTTGTTTGTCAGGTCACGATTCAGGTACTTTGCAAGAGCTCTGCAATCGCAAATTAATTAACAACAGGATATAGATGAGATAACGATATATATGTGTGTGTGTGTATATAAATATATGTATCGCTAACCTTCTTGCTTCTTCAACCCCATCGCCAGGTGAATAGCAGTTGTATTCACCGGTTCTCAGAGCATCGACAATGGCGTTTTCAGCATCAAGGCTAGTTCTGAAGACGGGGAAGACGGCGGGGTCGCCATGGGCAAGGGGTAGGATGGTCCTTGGATCGTCAGGATTCACACTCCCCATGAGTTTCGTCACCACTCCTCTCAGAGTCTTTGATGCTGCTTCGTGCACGTCTTGGTTCCCTACAAAATTCCATTTCTTTGGTGGACACTCCATTTCTTCCACTTCTTCTTTCTCTTGTAGCTGATCGAGGTCTTCTCACTTTCGTCTTTGGCAGATGGTGATCCTCTGTATTTATGGACGGATTCAGAGATGAAGAAAAATGCAAGTCAAATTGACACTAATATTTTTTAAGTTTTTTAAAAGAAAGGGATGGCTAGAATTATTAGTTTATGAGTAATTTTTAAATGCTTTAAATTTCTTTTTTGTTTGATTATATAAAAATACTATTTTTATTTATTAAACTTTTTAATATGTACTTATATATAATAAGATAAATTATAAAATATTTTTAATTAACATTTATTTTCACTAATTTTTAGCAAAAAAATAATAATTATTTACTTTTTTAATCAAATGCATAATTTTATTTATTGCGAATAATTTAAAATATTCTCTTAGTTTATATCTATTTCTTGAAGTAATCTTAAATTTATTTATGAAAAATATCATATAGAAAAGATAAAAATATTATCTTATGTGAACCATCAGTATGGGGTTTCTATAAATAAAAAGATGGGTTCACACATATATACGTATCTATATATATATATATAATATATCTATGTATATACGTATATGTGCTTTGAAGTTTGTGTTTTGGTTTATAAGGGTATGGGGCTTGCATTTTGCACCATCGGAAATACGAGCAAGAAAAATAAAATATTATAAGAAGACAAAATAGTTGTACGTCATTTGATTCCTCATTTTCTTCTTTTATATAATATATATATATATATTGTAAAAGTATGAAACTTAAATAAAATTAATATATACTCTAAATACGAAAGAAAATAAAAAATTTAAGATTTATATTTTTTATATAATAAATTAAAATAATTAATATAACTATTAAAATATCATTTTTATAGCGATTCATAAAAAAAAAATCAATAATTGAAAATAAATAAATAAATATCTTATAAAGTTAATCTTTACTAGCACTTAATGAGGTCTATAAGTTAAATTACTCACAACTTTCTTATTAATCGTGATGTGAATGTTAGTTTTCTTAATCTGAAATAGTTAATAGAATGGTGGATTATATTAACTCAGTAAAAATATCACACTAATTATTGACACAGAAAACTGAAGATTCGTAAAAATTATAAAATAACTAATGAAACTCTTATTTTAAATAAATTCATTTAACATTAAAATATTTATTTCATATTTATTATTAAGAGTTTACCAAAATCAACTTAATAAGACAAATATTCATATAATGTTATGATTTTATGTACGAGTGAACGAGATCAACAATTCTCCTTTTTACCTATTTACTAGAATCACTTGGGGTCCATGGGGATATTCCTCTGCCCGTGAACTCAATATCTAGATCTGTCAATTAAATCGGTCGTTTTCATACTTCGTCCGGTAATTGGTACCAAATATATAATCGCCTCGATACCCCGTCCACTATGAAGGTGAACTATATCTCCCAAACCCTTCCAGTATGGAACTTCTCAGACCCGTCCGACTGAGGTAATGTCCATAGATTTCTTATGCACCGGGTCCATCCACATTTTTCTAGGATATTCAATAAGTCTTTCTCACATAGGATCACACCACAAACCGATTACCAGTTACGTGTTAATATCTTATATTTATATATTAATGATAAATCATGCAAATAGGCAATATGTACATCAAGAACATAATTGAGACATTTATTGCAGAACAAACCAGAAAAAATAAATGTGCAATGAGGTAAACTAAATAATCGAGAAAACAATCAAAACTATCAATTTAGTGTACATAATATAATAGTAAGTAATTTAAGTAGTATAGAAAAATAAACAGTGAATCATGACAAATATGAATTGACCAGTTTTGGCTCTACTAGTGACCTGTAATGTAACAGTCCCGGAAATATTAAAATGAAATGAGTATTTGAATATATCAAATGCGGAAGCGAGATCAAAATTTCAGTTAACATCCCTTACACGAAAACCAAAAACGTACTTAAATTATAAAAGGTTAAACTAACTAAAAGAGAAACTCGAAAACAAAGCTATGAGCATGACTACAGAGTCTCTAGGCATCCCCTTCGTCGTCCTCCTGCAGAACGGGCTCGGGAACCATGTCTTCCTGATCTGAAATGGTTAAATAAGGAGTGAGCTACACTAGCCCAGTAAGAACATCACGATATCTCACCGTCATGGAGGTAAAGGTGGGTAGAAAACACAAAAAGACTAATGGAGCATAATTTACAACAAACTCGTTTATTAACATGAAAACTTTTACCATCCACTTACCTCGGTGGAATTTACGAAAACAATATAAGAAAAACAATAACATTATCATAATCATGGAATAATATAAGCTGTAAAACATAACACTTATCACGCCTCTTGTAATTCAATCATTATACAACATATTTTTTCTCATTTACCAGCCTACTAGTATCCGTGGGGGTCCATAAGGGTCCCGCTACCCGTTAACCTTTAACATTCACAATCAGTTTCCAGGGCCGTCCCCATACCCCGTCCGGTATGGGCGCCAAAACCATAAACCTCAATACCCCGTCCGGTATGAGGGTGAAACGGGCCGTCCCCATACCCCGTCCGGTATGGGCGCCAAAACCATAAGATCTCCATACCCCGTCCGACATGTGAGACCACAATCTCGGTAGGGTTCCCTACGGACCCGGTCCGTCCACCATCTCCCAGGATATCTAGTCAGGCTGACCCCCATAATATAATTATCAGTCTACACAATCTTTCATTTTCCTTTTCCTCAGTCAGCATCATCAATCTACATTTAAACAAGCAAATCGTAATTCATGCCAAACAGACAACATACAGTATCAGTTTTTCAGCCATTCAACCCATGAATAATAAAAACGTAGTATATGCATACAAATCTGTAAAATGAACACATCAAACCTCATTTTGCATTTAAAGCTGTAAACAGGCCAAATAACAGTAAATCACCAATCACACTAGACTCGGGCTCCATTAGCCACCTTAAGCAATTTCACACATTTGTTAATTCAAGAAATACCGTTTTATCATTTTGGACTTTAATACCGTGATAGGAAATAGGGTGAGGGGTCCTTACTCGTTTCGGGGTCCGAACACGGCTTCACGGTGCGCCTACAGGCTGTCCCTAATTTTCCCTGAATTTTCCTCGGAGAACTGAAACGCACTACTGGTACCTGCACGTGTTCCAAAAAAAATCCCAAATTAGGCCCAGGGCCTCAATCGGCCCAAATCGCAACTCCGGCACGGCGGCTCCGCCGTGCTCCGGCGACGGCGCCGCCGCTGGCGGCGGCGAGTCGCCTCGGGTTGGCTGTTTTCGACCGTTTTCGGCCGAATTCGGCCACACTCGCATCGGTCCCTGTGAGAAAACAACCCTAGGGCCCTCGGGGGGCCAAAAAATCACGAAAAAATGGAGCTTACCGGCGGCGGCGCTCTCGGGTGCGGCGGCTCTCCGGCGAGGTTCGTGTTTTGGTGATTCGGCTCCGGTCAACCTGTAGAGAAAAGAATGGTGATCACGGTGATATAAAAATTGCATCAAACGGAGGCCGGGAAAGGCCTCGTCGGAGGCAAAAACCGAGAGGGGGCGCGGCGGCGCCGCTAGTCTTCGGCCGCGTATTCCGGCCGTTTGGCCGGGATTTCGGCTTTGATTTGGCCACAGGAGGAATCAGCGTGGAAAAACGAGTCGGGGGTATGAAATTTACCTCGATCGGCGGTCGAAAATTTCCCCGGTGCGGCGGCGGGTGGCGGCGGTCGGCCTCTGGTTCGTCGTCTCCAGCGAGCGGCAGGCGGCTAGGGTTTGTGGTCTGGTGTGGGGGTTCTATTTATAACCCCTTGCCTTTTGATCTCAGCCGTCCATTTCGTTTTAATCTGGGCCGTTCGTTTTTGATTGAATCTGGGCCGTCTGTGCGATTGAATCTGGGCCGTCCGATCGCGCGATTGATCTGGGCCGTCGGATTTTACCCACGCGGATCGCCAACGTGGCTACTTTTCGGCGTGACGTGGTCTTGCCACGTGGTAGGCCCCGGTTGGCCGGGACTGCTGACCGGGCCTGCTGACGTGGCTGCTGACGTGGCCTTTTTTTTTTTCCGGGTGCTACATGTAATTATTTTTAGATTTATTCTAAATTTTACAAAACACAAGATTATCGATTATTAAGTCTCAATTTAGCGTAACAGGAAATAGAGTGAGGGATCCTTATCCAGATCGATGTCCGAAATACCGTACTATTTACTACGCCTCCTGACGGTCCTCGAGTTTCATGATTTTTTTTTGCAGAAATTAAAATACTTATCACGTACCCAAAAATACCCGAAAAGACCAAAATCGATGTTAAAAAATCTTTCCGACAAATTTTAGGGTTTCGACACGGCGGTAGTTTACCTTGGTTTGGCCAGTTTCAGTCGGTTTTAACCGGTTTTACACGTATCTTTGCAAAAAAATACATTAGAGAGTCTCGATTGACTAGAAAAATCAAAAAACTGAAACCTACTAGCGGGGGGGTCTCTGTGTGCGACGACTCCGCCAGTCCTCCTTTATGACTGGGGTTCCTCTTCGGCTAACAAGCACAAAAAAAGGACGATAAATACGGTGGTCAAAAAATCTCGTAAAACAGAAAACAAAAAGATGGTCATCAGAGAGGGTTTTGAGTTTTAGTCACGGCGGCTCGACCGAGCTTTGCTTCCAGTTTCTAGCACACTCGTCGATCCTTTGGCTCTGATATAGCCACAGGAAGACTCGGGATGGAATTCCGAGCGGAAGGACAAAAAAAAGTAATTGTTCAAGCGTCAGCAGTGGCTCCAGTGCCGCAGTGACGGCGGTCAATTTCTTTTTTTCCTGCCCTTCTTCTTCTTCTCCAACAAGGGCTGGTGTGGCTAGGGTTAGGGTTTCCCGGAGTGCAATGCTTAAATAACCTTTCTTTGTCGATCTGGGCCGTTTGTGTAACGCTCGAAAAATTGGAAAATTTTGGTTATTTTATTATTAATTATTTTTATTAAGTTAAAAAAAAAAAGAGCGCCACGTCAGCAGACCCAGTCAGCAGTCCTGGCCAACCAGGACCTGCCACGTGGCAAGACCACGTCGACCGGGGACGGGCCACGTTGGCGATCCACGTACCCGCAATCGGAAGGCCCAGATTA